GATGGTCCTTTCTTGCGATGAGGTGGACCCGCTCGTGGAACAGGTTGTAACCCAGACCAATCCACGAGCACATCCACCAAGCCGGAAGCAGATTCTATCAACAATCGGGACCTCTACAACCGCGCAGACCGACATCTGTCCAGTCATCTCGCAGGGCAACTGTCAGTGGAATGCCTACTCGCACAACCTTGATGGCGTTGCACAGACCTAGTGGCAAATAGTGAAGGCAATCAGCTGACGCCACGTTCACAAATATGGAAAATATCTTCTTACTGCTTTGTAGATAATGAAAATTAGACCGAAGATCAGCACAAGCCCCACTCCGGCTCCTATAGCGACCCACGAGACATGCGTGGGTCACTATAGGAGCCGGAGTGGAGCTTGTGCTGATCTTCGGTCTAATTTTCATTATGAGGAAAGGCCAATATTCTGGGAGGTCATAGTATCGGTCATTCTAAGCGTACAAGCGAGATAGGGCTATTTCATCGCCAATTGCTTCCATTAATACTATTCACTGATGACGCTACACACTTAACTCTGAACCATTCCCTGGTTCAAATGGGCCTGCTGGCGACATCTCTAAACTAGTGATTGTACTTCCTGTGAGACGACCACCTCAAGTGTTGTTATCTGTCCTTTATTCCCTTTTTTTTCCTCCCATCTCCTGCTCTGAAAACTTGTGACCTGGCCTTGGTCTTCCTCTTCCTGGTCGGCTGCCATAGGGACTAGACGTGCGTAGAGTTTTGTCTGGCTTCGAAATTGTGTGGGTTGTCCATTTAGTTCCAAATTAAGTGTAGTACGTGTCTTATGGAAGTCGACGAGAGGGGCAACTTGTACATAAGTTTATTTTCTGGTGTGAATTGTTGTTTTGTTGAGTATGAGTGAAATTGTAAGTAATGTATGCTGTGCTTGTGGTAGGGTGTGGCCAAGTTGTAACAAAGGGCCTCATCTTACTATCGTGTGTGTGTATCATCTTTATAGGTCGACTAGTACAGTATATTATATTATAGCCAGTATTCTTATGTATATAATTCATAATGGGAAGTTGTGTGTTGGGGATTGCATCACTGAAGTGCTGGGCTATGAGACAGGTGGTATGGGACGCCTGTTGAGAGGCTAGCACCGCGTGATAAATTTCGGGGAAGTACGCAGTTTGATAACGAGCTACTGCGTAGTTCGTCGCGTGATTCTTCGTAAGCCTATGCCTGGTGAGAGGCTAGCGTCCTCTTGAACACTTTGTCTGGCATGGGAATCCCAAACTGGAGTGCAGTCTGTCGCAGAAACGCTAGGTGACGAGAGCTAAAGTGATTGTACAAAAAGCAAAGTCTGATTAGTGACCATAAAGGAACTTGGTCGCTCAGGCTGTCTGTTTAGTTGACCTTAAAGGAACTTGGTTGCTAAGTAGTGAGTCGCTGTTGTGAAAGAGACGGAAGTGGACGCACTCCAACTTTCATATATTTATATATGATTTCTTTGTGATTTTTTGGGAGTGTCGATGAGGTAACGATTACGATGTTATAAGTAGCGGCCGGATTTAACGGCGGGGGGAAAAAGTCGGGTAGCTAAGCAAGTGCCCGCAAACCTACAAATTTTGAGGGAGGGCATATAATGTAATTCTGCGTCATTAAGGTAAATGTTTCCCGTTACTGTGTCGGTGTGGTAGCCATTGAAGTAATGGACCCACCTTGATTGTGTGTGTGTGTAAATTGAATGTTGTTCTTCTGAAGGATCGGTTTGTATTCCTTGTTTTACATTACTGTTTTTGTCACTTTGCTTTGTCTCTTTTTAAATACATTAAATTTATTGTTTGCTTTTAAATTCAAAATGGATGAGAGTTGATTGATTGAGGGTTAATATTCGACTGCCTAAATTTCATGTTCCTTGGTTTACCCAGCGCGACCTTGATGGCGTTGCACAGACCAACTGGCAACTAGCGAAAGCAGCTTAGTTGGATGTGATGAATACAGAAAAAAGCCCCTGTGTTCGGGGACCTACGACAAGTTCGCTTGTATCCATCCAGTCAGTTGGTAGGCAAAATCTGTATTGTATTATGTGACAAGCAATCGAGTCAGCGATTCGGTTAAACTCGCATCGATGGTATCACGACAATCCATATATCAGGTCAACCATTGTCACTGCTTTGGTAAAGTTTACCTGAGTTTAATTTAAAAGTAGGGATTATAAAGGATCGAAGGCAAATAACAAAAAATCAGCCTGGAGACTTTCAATGCAGACTCCCCCAACACGAAATCAATTCGGATATCACTGTGTAGTCTGCAGACGAAACTTGTGGAATGTCACTCAATCCCCATCTTACTCTTTGTGGAACGAACGCAAAACTTTTACAGGCTGTACCTTCTTCACACATGACGCCGTGAAGAATTGAAGAAACCCCACGGCAACACCAAATTTCGTACAAATTCGTCAAGTGGTGTAAGAGTAGAATAGACTGGACTGTTGCTCTCTCAACAATCAGTTGTGTCACAATGATATAAACAGTTGCCTCGTGATGGGAATTTGTCTCGCTTGAGATACTGAAGTGTGGACTCACAGAAATCGAGAGACTACTATTTATATCATTGTGATGCAATAAATGCTGCTTACTGTTGGTCAGTTCAGTTTATTTATAGTAGGAGTCTCATATCTCATACTAGAAATAAACTGAACTGACCAACAGCAAGCAGCATTATAAAAACGAGATGAGTTCTTTAAAGCAATTAGCACCCAAAATCAGAGGCAACAGGATCACCAACAAGATTCCCAAGCCGCTGATGACAGACCAGCAGGCACTAGAATTAGGAAGAGAACTGAGAGATTTAACAAAGCATTCTGTAAGACCAGTTTTGGAAAATTCTCTGCATCTCAACACCATTACACTCCCACATTCCTTACAGAGATACAATGCCAATAATACATTTGAAATAGCATTCAGAATCCAATTGTGCATGGTCTTGGGAGAGGTAGAATTATGATATACCTCGTTCAGCTCTTCATATCACAATCTGTGAGCTTTTCCTTGATTTATTGAGAATGGAAGGTTCAGCTCGCATTGTTCTTGAAGAGTGTACAACTAACCTCAAGTATTACCAACTCACTGAAACAGCATTAACATCTGTGGAACCTCTTCAAGTCTGTCTCAATTTAGTTTCCAGATTTCAGTTTGAAAGACTGGTCACATTGACACCTGGAGCAGAGCTCACAAATCCTGCAATACAGCAAAATCTTAGAAGCCAGATTAGTGATCTTAATTCATCCCAATACCAGTCAAAAATAGCACTCTTCAACCTTGTGGTAAAAACCTGTCTCAACTATAATAGTTTAAGACCTGATTTGGCTCGACTGGTATTTACTTTCGGGATGGGTTTTCCCCGAAGTGGGCAGATGACAGAAGCTGCATGGACCACAAGATGGTCAGCGTTGGTTAATAGGTATCCTACGGACTCCCAGTTGTCATCCTCAGCGGAGGATGCCCAGAACTTGTCCAGTTTGATCCAAGTTCTGGCGAAAGATGGATTAGATCTTCCAGCATTGGCCACAGAATATCTGAGCTTTATAGAAAAACTTTTTCTGGAGGAACCAATCCTCAAAGCCCTGGTTGACCAAGTAGCCTACAATGGAATGACAATTCCTGTAATAATAGCTTACTTATGTGACAAGTTGCAGGTGAAAATTGCCGGGGACGATCAAATTAAGAAATACAACGGAATCGGAGGCATCAACAAGAAGAAACCCGTTCCATTCAAATCTGTCACGCAGTACAAAAAGACTGTCCTCGAAGACGAGACCCCCAGACCTTTAAATATCTTGAACAAGTATGAGGATCACTTCTCTACCACAAAGGCAATCATGAATAAGCTACTTTCCCAATACTTACTCCCTAAAGACACCGAGGCAGATGAAGTTGATGCGGAGGGGTTGGGATCGTTGTTTGAAGAACAACGACCTTCAAGTGAGGACAGTGACGATAGTGGGAACGATCCAGGACCTGGATCACGACGTGAAAGATACAAAGGAATCTTACACCACCCCCAAGGAAACGACCTCGTCGGCCTTCCCCAAAGTCGCAGTATTCCAAGACACGATTTGACACTCCTCCCCAGAGAATTGATAGGCCTCTAGCTCACTCTCCTACTTTCTCAGCGTCAGGATTATCTACTCAATCACAGATCCAACGGTTCGGCTTGGACCGGATTGCAGTGAGTCAGCCCCCAGAACCCATTAGTTTCCCAGAATCCCGAGCTGGTCCTAGTGTCATTACAACTGACATTAAGGAAGAGGAATACTCTCAATAAGACTGTCAGTAATTGCACTCAGGTTTTGAGAGAACATTACTTGCAAGAGGGGACCGATAATAATGAAGTCTTTAAGAAAATTCCTGCTCATGTTGAAAAGTTTTTGAATGCTGCTCGAGAATTTGATGCTGTGATTGAAGAACTGAAGACAGTGAAAGAGATTCCACTTGAAAAGGGATCCCCTA